TATTTTTTCTCACCAGAAAAGTTACTGTTTAGATCACTAAAGAATAATTCCAATGGTCTCACTTTGTAAATCTTCTTCTGACCTACAAGTCCAAGGGTGTGAAAATAAACCTCAGAAAGTTGTGATACACCTGCACATATTGTATGTCCAAAGAGTAATACCTTCGGCTTATTGCTCATTCTCTTTCTTTGGTGACTTAATTGTTTCATTGTCAGCACTATTAGATTCCTCTCTTCTAGGCAATCCAACGCCTGAAATTTGATAATGATCGACAGTTGTATCTGTTCCATATGCTGTGTGCCCTCGTGTGCTGGTCCATGATGTCACCTTTGACAATCTTCTGTTGCAAAACTTTATAGAGAGCTTATTTGCGCTTTTCCGGCCCTACTAGTTTAGATTGAAGGTTTTTTGACAACTTTGTGGCACTCTATTGTAGTGTTCTCACTAACTTTTAGCAACTACGGTCAATAGTAAAATGTGCAACGGAGATGCGATTACTGCTCAACCACCTATAGCCACTAGAATCTCCATTGTCCCCAACACCTTTCATGCCACCTGTGAACAGAAGAACTCTATACATGTTTTTCATATCTCTTAGACTAAGGAGCATACATATTTATACAAGAAGCTATACACTAAGGTAAGGTTCGGAACTCAATCCCTGAGAATATGCACATTAATCCCTAATATCATGCTAAATATATTCCTACTATTTATAATGTCTAACACTCTCCCTCAAGTTGGAGCATAGATATTGATCATGCCCAACTTGTTACATAAGTAATCTACTCGAGACCCATTCATGGCTTTTGTAAGCAGATATCCTAATTGTTCTTTTGTCTTCACAAACCCTGTAGAAATTAAGCCTCGTTGTATCTTTTCACGAATGAAGTGACAATTAACTTTGATGTGCTTGGTTCGTTTATGGAAGACAGGATTGACTGCAATATGGAGAGCCACTTGATTATCACACCATAACTTTGTAGGAACAGGAGTCTTGAATCCTATTTCATTCAGAATGTGATATATCTACAAGATTTCATACGTTGCTTGTGCCATTGCTCTATACTCTGCCTCTGCACTTAACCATGAGACAACATTCTACTTCGTGCTTTTCCACGGGATCAAATTTCACGCAAAGAAGACACAAAATCAGGTTGTAGATCTTCGATTTTCCTTAGATCTTGCATAATCTGCGTCTACAAAGCACTCAACCTTCATGTCTATGGTTTTGATATACAATTCCACGTCCTGGAGCCCTTTTTAAATGTTTCAAGATTTGTTCAACAGCTCTCCAATAGTCAACAATTGGAGAAGCCATAAACTGATTTACAATACTGACTGAGTATGTAATATCAGGACGGGTTACAATCAAGTAGTTTAGCTTACCAACCAATCGTCTCTATCTTTCTGGATCATCAAATGGCACTGTGAATTAGGGATCTTGGAGTACTACATGGCTTAACTCCCAGTTTCCCTGTTTTTGTCAATAAATCAAGTACATATTTTCATTGGGAGAGAAATATACCTTTCTTCGTATTACCTCGACACCCAAAAAATACTTTAATGTATCAAGATCTTTAGTTTGAAATTGACTATGAAGAAAGGTCTTTATGAGATACAATACCAACAGTGTCATTATCAGTGATGACAATGTCATCCACATAGACCACTAATAAGATAGTTACCTGTTTTAGAATGCTTATAAAAAACAGAGTGATCAGACTTCCCTTTCAACATGCCAAACATTTCAATCGCTTGACTAAATTTCCCAAACCATGCACGAGGGCTCTGCTTTAGGCTATATAGAGATTTGCGGAGGCGACAAACTTTACCATATTTCCCCTAAGCAACAAACCTAGGTGGTTGCTCCATGTAGAGTTCTGAAGGTCACCATGTAGAAAAACATTCTTAATGTCTAGTTGATGTAACTATGTTAGGCCAATCATACGTAGCAGCCAGAGAAATGAGCAACCTGACAGAGGTCAATTTTGCAACAGGGGAAAATTTGTTAGAGTAATCAAATACCATAGGTTTGAGTATACCCTTTTGCAACTAGACCAGCTTTCAATCGAGCTACTAACCCATCAGAGTTAACCTTCACCGCGAACACCCATTTGCACCCAATGGCCTTCTTTCCTGCAGGTAAATTTACCAAGTCCTATGTACCATTGAAATCTAAGGCATTCATTTCCTCAATCATAGCATTACACCAACCAAAGTGGGACAAGGCTTGTTTTACAGTTTTAGGAGTTTGTATGGAGTCAAGAGAAGCAATAGAGTAGGAAATAGGAGGTAAGTGAGTATAAGAGACAAAAGATGAAACAAGATAAGTACAAGATCTTTTACATTTGAGAAGGGCTATGGCAAGTCATCCAGATCATCTGACGGAGAAGCCAACTCAGGATATGAGACGGGCATTGTGTTAGGAGCCAAAGAAGTATTCTGGTTGGGAGTAACTATTTCTGGAGGGACAGAATGTTGTTTACGAGAATAAACTTGAGTGATTGGTGGTCGTAAAGTAGAGATAGAAGCGGAAGTGGTGGTAACCGTATAGATGAGAACATCATCATTGTCCCTGTGGCTTCCAGAAGTTGAGGGAAGTGAAAAGGGAACATCTTCATGAAAGGTTACATCAATCGACACTAGATATCTTCCTGTGGACGGGCAGTTAACACCTATACTCCTTTTAGACAAGAGAATATCCCAGAAAGATGCATTTCAGAGATTTTGGATCTAACTTTGTAATATGAGGCCTAACATCTCTCACAAAACAAGTACATCCAAACGTTTTTTGTGGAATAGGAAACACAAACTTTTGTGGGAAAAAGACACTGATAGGGTGTTGTTTCACGTAATACCGAAGATGGCATACAGTTAATCAAAAAACATGCATTAGAAACTGCATCAGCCAAAAGTGTTTGGGGACCTGCATTTGGAATAGGAGAGCTCGAGCAGTTTCCAACAAGTGTTTGTTTTTCCTTTCAGCAACCCCATTTTGAGATGGAGTGTCAACACAAGATGATTGGTGTAAAAGACCATGTTTATTACTCATATAAGAGGAAAAAAGTTCAGAAAAGTACTCTTTATCATTATCACTTTGCAAAATACGCACAGGAATATGAAATTCCATTTTTACCTCGGCACAAAAAGCATGAAAATGAGAAAACAATTCAGACTGACTCCTCATGAAATATACCCAAGTCATGCGAGAATAATTGTCAACAAAAGTAACAAAGTATTGAAACCCAGATTTAGACATAACACGGCATTGACCCCAAACATCAGAATGAACTAATCAAATGGAGCATTTGCTAGTTTATTGACTCTCGTTTAGCAAACTGACAAGACTCACAATTTAAAGAAGACACCTTATGAAATTGCGGACACATTTTTTAATAGAGGTAAAGAAGGGTGTATTAAGCGACAATGGGCTTCAAAGGGAGTACCCACCTTGAAATAGGCAACAGTTCTTGGAATATTGGAATCAAGAATATAGAGGCCACCAGACTCATGTCCTTTACCAATAATCTGCTTCGTCGTAAGATCCTGAAACATGCAGTGAGTAGGGAAAAAGTTATAGAACAGTTCAAAGCATGAGTGATTTGACTAACAGAAATCAAATTAAAAGACAAGTTGGGAAGGTTCAAGACAGATGATAATAGGAGATCGGGAGTTGGAGTAGCAGTGCCAATCCCAAGCACCCTAGAGGTGGACCCATCAGCTAAAGTGACATGGGAAGTGGATGGAGAAGATTGAAAGGTAGATAGGAGGCTGGAGTTACTTGTCATATGATTTGTGACACTCGAATTGATAACCCACTTGGAAGCTAAAGAGACTAGGCAAGTATTGGGATTACCTGAAGTGGCAGTAGCTACGATTGAGGCAGATGATGAAGATTCTTGGTACCTTAAGAACTTAGCATAGTCATCTGCAAAGATTAAACTTTGTTCTCAACATTAGCAACTGAAGACACCACATTCGCAGACTGATTCCCCTGATTTTTATTCTGAAGCTTCCGGCAATCCTACCATTTATAATGTTTACACCACCCTTGTTTCCTAGTCTAACTCTGTTTGGATCTTTGATTCAGGTATGACTGGTCACATTTTGGGCAATCACTTTCTCTTCACCTGCATTGCCTCATTTGATTCACTACTTATTGAATAAACAGGGTATATTTTATCTAAGTCTAGCTTAAATACCTTAAAGATTATACATGACTACATACACACACACACATATACCCTTAGGCTAACCTAGAGCTAGGTAGCATAGAAACGGGAAACGGGGAAGCATAGGATACAAAATGTGAGAGAAACAGAGAAATATAATAAATATAAATGTGTTTTTTTTTCTTTAAATATGTATAGATATTAATTTTTTACTAGTTTCTACTTTGGAAATGCTTTTTAAAAATTAGGAAAACGATCCTAAAATGTTTTTGGAGTTCCCATAAAATTGTAGAAAGAAACGTTTCCAAAATGTGAAATGCTAATACTTGAGAGTTTTTGTCCATCATAGGTTCCCACACTTAGGAAATATCAAAGGACACAGTGACACACACACACACACAAAACACATGTATTAAACCAAAAGCTACATGCTATAGATTTGGGAGACAATGAGTAACCATTCCTTTCCAGGCAAGGTATTACTCCGTACTAAATTACCCAATGTCCCTGTGCCTTTGGAATACATTGGATCTCTGGTTTTTGTTCCATTAGGACTGAGGCTTACCTGATTAAAGTTTTATAAATGGGTTAGGGTTATTTCTTTTAGCATTTACAGCTAAAGGTGTACTTGTCTTCAATAATGTTGTTATGGGCTTATGGCTAATGTGAGTTGGTATTGAATAGATATATCATTAGGACTTTAGTTATGAAATGTATTCAACAGAGTGGCGTTGGTCTTTTGAATTCAATTCAATTCAATTTGCAAACTTCTTGTATTCTACTTCATATCAGATATGCTCAGTAACATAAAATGTAATATTGTAGGATTTCGATGCACGCCAATCAAGGTTCTGGTACGCTCTTACTATTTTTGATAAATATGCTTACAATTTTTATTTTGGTATAATTCACTAGAAAAAAAAAATATACAAACCCATTTTCATTTTATTTATGTTAAGAGTCCCATTTTCATTGGCTGTGTTTGGTCCACTTTGGGTTTATGGGTATTGGTGGCGGTCAAGTTTTCGTAAGCCCCCTTGTTCGGTCCACCAACGGGGAGGGTGCGGTCCAATTTCAAGTGGTCAACCGGTTAGATTCAAAATGGCCCAGTTGTCCATTTGAGGGAAGTGTTCAAAATGACCCAGTGTTAAAGTTCCACATTGATAAAATAAGAGAGATCATAGTCCTTTATAAGGCCATGAGTTAGACTATCTAATTGGTTGGATTTAATCTTTTAGTGTAGTTTGGCTCATGTGCATTATAGCCCAGTTGAGTGACCGTAGCCCAATATTTGTTTATAGCAGTTTACAAAATTACAATTTGACGTCAATCAACCTGCTACTTAAATATTTACTACTCCGTATAGAAGTCTTAGATATTATTCAATTTTTTGCCATAGTGGTCTTACTAACTAGTACTTTACTATGTAAATAATATAATATAATTATACTAAAATTCAATTTTTTTTTTCACTTTTTAATTTTAGCTTTTAATATTTGAAGTTCAAAAAGAGACATTATTACTCATTGTCAACTTTGGCAAATGTCATCACTTATTTATAACAAATCATTGCCAAATTTGTCAAGGGTATTTATGTAAAATGGCATGTCTTCTGTATTTAAGCTTATATGTAAGAGCAAAGTTGCCATTTTCATTTGGAAAATGATAAGTGGACTCCCAAAGAATAAAACTCCTGACACATGTCCTTGGAGGAAAAAAAAAAGAAAATGAATAAAAATTGTGGTCCATTTTTTTTTTTTGTATCAATAAACGTGCCAAATTAATAGGGAGTAAAAAGTAGGAGTCCATATAGTATTTCCTTACACCAGCTTATTAATGGATGCACACCGGTTACACTCTACTGCAAATGATTGAAAGGTGCTGCAGACCAGATTTCCCTCTAGCAAACACAGAAAATGGAATCTTATATAACTTGCTTGTAGAATACTCCATTTCTGGTTGTGTTATGGAGTCTAATATTTCATCATTAAATGATTCATATCCCAGAGTATAAACTGTTTTAGCAGTGAATTTATCATATTTATAATCATTTTCTGGGAAAAGGACCATCCAGTGGAGTGCCAAGAGAACCAACTAAAGACAAGGTGGTTTCCTTGGTTCCTGTTGCTAGAAAGAAGGGACATCAACGTAATGTGTTTGTTCTATTTTCTGTGTGTGTTCTTCACTGCTACACTTAGACATATATACTACCACAATGGACTGTTTTACAACTCTTCACTTCCTAGTCTATTTAATTCTATGCCTTTCCATCTTCTATAACTGTTTATATCTAACACTCCCCCTCAAGCTAGAGCATAGATATTAATCATGCCCAGCTTGTTACAAATATACTCAACCCTGTCCCTGCTAAGCCCTTTGGTGAACACATCAGCTAGTTGATCGCCGCTACGAACATGAGCCATGGAAATGAGGCCTTGTTGAATCTTTTCACGCACAAAATGACAATCTACCTCAATATGTTTGGTACGCTCATGGAACACTGGATTGTTTGAAATATGTATCGCTGCTTGATTATCACACCATAAATGTATGGGCTTCATCACTTACACACCAACCTCCCTCAACATATTGTGCACCCAAGTTATTTCACACGTCACATGAGCCATCGCCCTATACTCAGATTCTGCACTGGACCGAGCCACAACAGTCTGTTTCTTGCTTTTCCAAGAAACCAAATTACCTCCTACGAACACACAATACCCTGTTGTGGACTTCCTGTCACTTAACGAACCTGCCCAATCAACATTCGAAAATGCCTCAACTCTGGCATGTCCATGATCAGCATATAGAATGCCTTTACCTGGTGCATTCTTGAGATACTTTACAATTCGAATTGCTGCCTCCCAATGAGTTCGCATGGGTGCTTGCATGAACTGACTTACCACACTGACTGGAAAAGCAATATCAGGACGCGTAATGGTGAGATAATTCAACTTTCCCACCAACTTCCTATATCTTTCTGGAGAATCAAAGGCCCCCCCCCCCCCCCCCCCCCCACAAGTCTCACACCCTGCTCCATAGGGGTCTCACATGGTTTTGATCCCAACAACCCAGTATCATCAAGCAGATCTAACACATATTTCCTTTGGGAGAGAAATATTCCTTTCCGAGAGCGAGCAACTTCAATCCCTAAAAAATACTTCAACACTCCCAAATCTTTCGTGTGAAACTTTTCTTTGAGGAAAGATTTAAGAGCTTCAATACCTACTGCATCATTACCTGTGATTACTATATCATCAACATAAACAATCAAGAGAATGCACCCAACATTAGTATGCTTGAAAAAGACAGTATGATCACACTGACTCCTTTGCATACCAAACTCCATAATCACACTACTAAACCTCCCAAACCAAGCTCGTGGAGATTGCTTCAGGCCATATAGAGACTTTTTCAATTTACACACCCTTCCAAACTCACCCTGAGCAACAAACCCAGGAGGTTGCTCCATGTAGACTTCCTCAACCAAATCACCATGTAAAAATGCATTTTTGACATCTAGCTGATACAGAGGCCAGTGGTTAGATGCAGTTAAGGAAATAAAAATACGAACTGAAGCTATCTTAGCTATCGGGGAGAAAGTTTCTGTATAATCAACACCATAAGTCTGTGTATATCCCTTTGCTACTAGACGAGCTTTAAGTCTGGCCACAGACCCATCAGGGTTCATTTTCACAACATAAACCCACTTGCAACCAACTGCAGTCTTACCGGCCGGGAGGGGTACCAAATCCCAAGTATGGTTTTCCTCAAGAGCAGTCATCTCATCCTCCCTTGCATGTCTCCACCCATCATGTGCTAAAGCCTGACTCAAAGTGTTTGGAACTGACACAGAATCTAAACGTGATAGAAAGGTGCGAGATGATAATGGTAAATGATCATAAGACACAAAAGATGAAATAGAATTTTGACAACGTTGTTTACCTTTACGAAGGGCAATGGGAAGATCCAAATCATTTGACGAAGATTCTGGTAAGGAAGAAGTATTCACTTGTGGTTCGGGTGGTGCCACTTCATCTCTCGGCCGCCGAGTATACACCTGTGTAATGGGAGGTCTAGAAACAGACTCGACAGGTATGGTAACAGTATATGTAAGAAAGTCATTGTCTTGAGTAGATCCATACCCAGACGACCCAACACCCCCAGTGAACACCATGTTTTCAAAGAAAGTAACATCAGCTGACACTAAATACCTCCCCAAGTCAGGTGAATAGCATCTATAACCCTTCTGAGTACGCGAGTATCCCAGGAATATACACTTAAGAGATTTTGGATCAAGTTTTCGGCGTTATGGACGAACATCCTGGACAAAACAAGTACATCCAAATATTTTGGGTGGGAAATGAAAAAGAGGTTCAGTCGGATACACTAAAGAATAAGGAATTTGACCTTGAAGGACTGACGAAGACATCCGATCAGGAAACATGCTGTATGAACAGCATCAGACCAAAAGACTTTAGACACTTTCATTTGAAACAAAATTGCCCGAGCTACTTCTAACAAATGACGGTTTTTCCTTTCTGCCACTCCATTCTGCTGAGGTGTATACGCACACGAGGATTGATGAACTATCCCATGTTGGCCCATATAAGTGGAAAAGGGTTTAGAGAAATATTCTTGTGCATTGTCACTTTGCACACACTTAATAGTTTTATTAAACTGGGTTTTGATCTCAGCACAAAAACTACAAAAAATTGTAAGCAACTCATCTCTAGATTTCATAAGATATAACCATGTACACCTAGAGAAGTCGTCCACAAAGGTTACGAAATATCTAAACCCATTCTTCCCTGTGACATAACAAGGACCCCAGACATCAGAATGAACAAGTTCAAATACAGATCGTACTCTTTTATTGACACGAGGAGGGTAGGAAACCCGACAATGCTTAGCAAACTCACACGACTCACATTGCAAAGTATACAGTGATTCTAAGCTAGGGAAGAGTTTCTTTAGGACTGATAGTGATGGGTGACCATATCGACAATGTAGCTGGAAAGGAGAGGTATCACTCAACATGGCCTTGGACGGAGATATAGATTGTTCTAACACATACAGTCCTCCGACTTCCTTCCCCTTACCAATAATCTTCTTCGTCAAAAGATCCTGAAAGAAACAATAACCCGGTAAAAATGAGACAGAACAATTCAAAAACCGTGTGATCTGGCTAACAGAGAGCAAATTAAAGGGAAACTTTGGAAGATATAATATAGATGACAAGGGTAATGATGAGGCTGCATCAGCACTACCTCTTCCCAAATGGATGACCTATCTGCTAGAGTAACCATAACCCCAGGATTAGATGGAGAATATGTGGAAAAACCCTTAGAATTACCTGTCATATGGTCACTAGCTCCAGAGTCAATGACCCACTGTGTAGACGAAGAGGACACACACGCAACAGGATTACCTGTTTGGACAAAGGTTGCAGAAGAAGACGGTTGACTGGATGGAAACTGAGATGGAGACTGCATAGGAGAAGACATTTTCAGTTGATTGAACGCTGCTAACTCCTCATCTGTCATAATTACCATATGTCCTTCAGATCCGGAGGTTGTGTTAGCAAACCTTTGTTGCCTGGGTAATTTAGGACATTGATTTTTGAAATGGCCCGGTTCTCCACAATTGAAACATACCCTTGGTCCTCCACGACCTCCTCCACGGCCTCTTCCACCACGTCCTCGTTGGCGACCACCTCCACTTCGACTATTATACCCTTCATTAGTATAATTTCCTTGAGATACAAACACACTTCCATCACTATTGCTCCCTTGTGATATAAAAACACTCTTCTCAACCGGTTCATTATTGTCAACAGTTACTGCTGCATTTTGTATCTGAGAAAATACTTGGTCCAACGACCCTAATTCCTTGTTTCCCAATAATTGTGACCTAAGAATCTCATATCCTTTGTCAAGCCCAGAAATCCAACTAAAAGCAATTAACTGATCACGTTGTTCTTTCATTGTTTTCACATCAGTTGTAATAGGCATTGCAGTGCATAAAGCTTCACTTAAGCTTTTAAAATCATAATAGTAGTCTCTCAGATCTCGACCTTTTTGATTAGGTCTATAGACATCTTGAGACAACTGATATAATTTTCTCAAATTACTTGTCCCACTGAACCATTCAGATACTAACTCCCACACTGCTTTAACCGTGGTACAATGTTGCATTGATAAAATCACCTTTCTATCAATACAATTAATTACCCGTGATAATAAAGCTTTATCATCTATTTCCCATTCTTTATTATCTGCAGGGCAATCTTTATCTAAATGGTCACCTTTACCCATTCCATCTAAATTAATTTTAACCAAGAATTTCCATTCAGCAAAATTAGACCCATCAGCAGCCAACACTATATCAATTAATTTAGATGGAGTAGATACAACAGTAATATTCTTATTACTTCCTTCTGCCATGACTGCCTATTCACGTTGATGCTGTTACAAATTAATTGATATACCACTATTTGGAGACTTCTGGAAGCAGTGATTCAACAGCCCAAAAACTTAAAGCAACAATGAATTGCTTATTCACGTTCAACCTAGGTTCGGAAACCCTAAGTGCAATCATCCACAAACCAAAACTCCACACAACATACCTGGGCAGAGCCTACTCCTCACGGCGAGTTCCCCGGAGTAATCGCCGTCGTCGATGGTGGCCGGAGAACGCCTCACGCGCCGGCGCGTGGCGCCGGAGCAGCTGGACGACGTCGGCGCGTGGAAGCTCTGATGGCGGCGCGGTTTGAGACCTGTCATCGCCTCCTCCTTCCGATCACGGCCCACTACACTCTCGCCGGCTCTGATACCATGTTGCTAGAAAGAAGGGACATCAACGTAATGTGTTTGTTCTATTTTGTGTGTGTGTTCTTCTTCACTGCTACACTTAGATATATATACTACCACAATGGACTGTTTTACAACTCTTCACTTCCTAGTCTATTTAATTCTATGCCTTTCCATCTTCTATAACTGTTTATATCTAACAGTTCCCTCCACTAATTTGGGTCTAGAAAATGGTACAATCAAGTGTCCCTTAGACCAGGAAAAACTTCCACTATAACCTTAACCTCACCTCTAGCATTTCCTCTTTAGAGAACCATTTTCGATGACATTGCAGCTAGGATCTAACTCCCAAAGCTCCCCCTGTATTAGTATTGACATTGTTTAAAGGGGGTGGTGACGATATTTTTGCCTTTCGTTGAGGAATATTAAGGCATTTAAGGGTTGAATGATAATCATCCATTTACTATGTCATCCTTATGTTCATACTTAGTTTGAGTAGCTCAAAGGTCTCTCTATTTTTTTTTTTCTCCTCTCTCTCTCACTCTATACACACACACACACACACACAAGTGCCTTGCACTCGTTTGATTCGTAGAACATAAATAAACTTTTCTTCCTTCTCCTTTGTTTCCATTTATACATGATAGTGGAGCCTTTTTCTGCACACCATAGTTTCCAGTTTGAATATTACCACGACTTCCTCAAGACTCATAGACTAGAGAGGCTCCTGGAGTAGGTGTAGAGATCTCACCTGGTATGGAAGTGTTACCTAAAGAAGTTGTTTAAACACTAATTCTGTGCTCTACATGGAGTCACTCCCACTAATCTGATCTCAAGTATGCTACAAAAATTGAGCCTTAGACTGGACTAGCACCATAAAAAATGTACTATGCTGGGCAACTTCTTCTGCCGAGGTTCCACCGATAGGCATGAACTTATTGAATTTACTTGTTAAACTCTGGGCTTGCCCAAGGAAAACCTCTATATTTGCCCCTTCCTTTTTCAAATTAACCAAATTTTCAACAAATGTAAAATCAAGAGAGATCATTAGTATATACTGACTTAACTTTGTTCCAGGCTGAAATGCATGTCTTAAATGGTCTGAAGCGAGGCACCAACTCTTAGGAGAGAGAGATTGTCATAACAGACTGCACAATTGGGCATCAATCCTTCCCCATCCTTTTATTTTTTAGTACATTATCAACCATCAGATAAGGCTCACTCACAGGCACATGAGCCTGGAGCAGTGGTTAGGAGTGGCTATTGCAACAGGAAAAAGTGAGCTATCCATGTTAGATACCACTGACGTGTCTAGAAGCTTCAATAAATTGAAGCTAGTGGCACAAGAGGTTAATTTGAAATCTAGGGTTTTTATGAATCATACTAATGGTTTTTTTACAAACACTGTCAAGCATTGTTCACAAGAACGTTGCTTGGTGTGTAGAAATATAAGGGAGAAGGAAAATAAGTTTATTTTTGTTTCATGAATTAAATGATTACAAGACATCTATATGCTACTCAAACAAAGTATGAACATGTCTGTGAATAATTTTGTTGAACTGCGAAGTTGCCTAGCCACCATCTGAAAGTTTTCTTGCCATTGTCTGGTAGCTTCAACATTGTAGTTTGAGGGCTCTCTTTCTTCGTGCTTCCATGCTCTCTGCTCAAAAACCTCACTTTTCACTAATGTCTCTTTTTGCCTTCCCTCCTTGTCAACAAAAGCTTGCTATTCTCTTACTCTGTCACCCTTCATGACAAAAGAAGGTAATGTGGGTAGTTATCTATATGATGTCTAAGGCACATTAATGCAAACCCCAAATGGAGTTTCTTTGTTCCAGGGTTGATTTGGCAACAATTTGAAAAAAATGAGACATGACATTTATAAACACATTTGAAATTATGGGGTCCCACATTGGTTAGTGGCCAATAGTTAAGGGGCCAAATGCGATTTCTCTTTTTATTATACACACTTTTTGATCATTTCATTTCTGGCAAGTCATTTTAATTTAAAAAAAGTAACTCAGATTTTTCTTATTACTGCAACTTGGACTATACTTTTCTAAAAATGATTGATGCATTAACCTCAAATCATGTCACCAGTGTGTTTGCCTTCTAGTGCTTGAATTAGCCAACAGTTAAACTAAAATAAAATTAACTTGATTACTGGCCTATGAACTGTGCTTAATTGTTTGGGCCACTTTGGGCACATATGAGAGTGGTATTGTTGTGCACTGCTAACAGGTAAAGGACATTGTTCCTTAGACCAATCTACTGGGTGAAATGCATGATTTTCTTGTGTTTCAAATTACATTTCATGTTTTTATTCATATATAATCAATTAGCTCTAATAATCTCTTGTATCTATTACAGTGACAACAGAGAAGGTGCCTTCTGCCAAGAAAATGCATCAGTGGATAAGAGCAAATTTCAGGGCAGAAAGATTCCTCTGACTGGTATTGATTTTTCATGTTTGATACATAATATTTTTCCTTAATGCACTTGAAGACTAGTTTATACATTAAAAATTTGTTTGCCCACCTACTCTATTTGATTAGGCTAATTGTCTTATGCATTATTGGGTTAGCGCAAATTAGAAATAGCTTAAGAGTGACCTGAAAGTTTATCAAACAATTGCAGTAATTTATTCAGCTTAGTTTTTGAAGTTATTGCTGCATAGATTTTTCTCTTTGGTAACATCAAGGAGTTGTGGTTCCAATTGCCTAACTGCCTAGCTGGTATTTTTCTGCAGCAAGCTTAAAGAAGAGAGAACAACTACTTGTTGACTCATCATCTTCTGAAGTCATTGGTGGCAATAAAGATGCTGTAAGATTTTCTTACTTGTATATTCTTTGGTTGGCAAAATGCACTTGTGTTAGGCATTTCTTAACGGCTGTGAAAGGCATAAACTGCAAACATTTTGCATTTTTTGCTGGTAATTATAAAACACGAAATGCAGAAAAATTGCAACTTGGATAATACTAGATATAGAGCAAGTTGAAAATCTGTGGAGAAATGATTTTTATGCTCACTAATCTTGTACTTTGAACAAAGTTCATCCTTCATGACCGACAGACCATGAGATATGTCATGTCTGGTTGTACTGATTCAAGTTTTTTTTGTTATATTTCTCAGTTGAAGCGTAGGACTCGAAGACGAAAAGTTTGAGGTGTTTTGTCAAACAGATAAACAAATGGGCATCTGGCTATGTTTTTGTACTATATCCAATTGCCACATCAATCTTCCAGTGAATATGTTTTTGTTTTACTGTTAGCAACAGTTGGATCAAACTACAGTTGGCTAAATTAAAGTTAGTTATGATAGAATGTTATTGTTTTCTGACAATTGAAATTCATATGATATTGACTAGTGGGATATTATAAAAACTAATGACATTCTAAAACTTACATAATTGCCATTTATTAGCTTTAGTTTGTCGCAGCCAGCTTCAAAAAGATTTTAGTTGCTAGTATAGAAAGATTTGCTTGTAATAGGCTTATAAAATATTGTAACTGATTATTGTAATATGTTTGTAACAACCATTTCTAAAGAAAGAACAACTCATTCTCTCTCCTCGAAGACCATTAGTTTAAACAAAAAGAAGTTGATGCTGCTGCTAACATGATCTCCAAGATGGATGGACCATAACTATTTCAAGCTAAAAACAAGGTGGAACATTGTCAGCAGGTAATATGCATTTAACATATTATGTGTATGTAATTAATATATTATTTATTTTTAATTTATATACAAACATATAATTTATTAATAAAAATATATATTGTAATATGTTAACTGCAGATATATAATTTTTAGATACGTAAGTTAGTCTATGGTATAACAATTGGATAAAGGGTTATATACTTATATATGTACTTTTCCATGTGTTACTAGTCTAAAACTCAGGATCTCTAAGTGACATATATGGGGGTGTTTGGTAAATGGCTGTTAATTAATAACTGTTAACTGATTCAGTTAGTATGTTTGACTAGTTGATAGCATTAGCTGATTGTAGAAAAGTGTTTAGTAAATTAACTGTTAGTTGATAGCATTAGCTGATTGTAGAAAAGTGTTTAGTAAATTAACTGTTAGTTGATTACATACAAGATGATATTCTTAAAAATCTTATTAAAAAAGTTACTTTGACCAGCTTTTTGAATTTTAGTATTTTGAAACAATAAGTTGATTAATCAAACATTCATTGATGATTTAACTAAGTCAAATAATTAATAATATTTAAATAAGTCAAAATTAGTTGATAGGCTAACTATTGTATCAAATAGGGTTATGATCTCCTATGAAGCTCGACTAATAATTATATGATATCAATTTCGATTCAGTATTCAACTTTAATTGAGCTGATTAGAGAGATATTTTATCAGATGTTGAATTTCACCAAAAGTAAAATTGAGTGTGATGGTGCCATATTTGACGGAACGTTATGCTCTGCAACCGTGTGCACCATGCAAGGTGCACACGATTCCAAATTTATAATTTCTATACTATAGATTCATAATTCCTATACTATAAATTCATAATTTCTATATTATAGATTCATAATTTTTATATTGTAGATTCTTAAAATTTATAATGTAGATTCATAATTTCTAAACCGTAGATTCATAATTTCTATACTGCAGATTCATAATATCTGTACTGTAGATTCATAATTTCTGTATTGTAGATTCATAATTTCTAAATGGTATAGTTATCAAATTATGAACATATAGTTATGTAATTTGTGAATACAGCGTTCATCAATTGGGAATATGAACATCGAAAATTATGAACATAAAATTTTGTAATTATGAATATAGAGTTTAATAATTATGAAGATGAAGTTAAAAAATTATGAATATATAGCTTTATAATTATGAAGATATAATTCAGTAAGAGTTAATACCCAAAATTGTCCTCGACTATAGTGGTTTTTCTCAATTTTGTCCTAAACGACTTTGGTGACCTAATATAGTCCCAGACTTTTGTGTTTCGCTCAATTTAGTCCTCCGTTTGTTATTCTGTCAAATTGGTGTTAAATAAAGGGACAATTCAATAATATCAATATTGACCTCTCTTTACTTTCAACCTGCGAAGTGAGAAATCTCTCTTTCTTACACGAATTACACCTAGAGTTACTCTCGAACCTACGAATCAAATTTTATATTCGTAGCTTTAGAAGTGATTCTGGGATTAATTCGTAAAAAAAGAGGGATTTCGTACTTCACATGTCTATGAATAAAGAGATGTCAATATTAAAATTACTGAATTGTCTATTTATTTAACAACAAATGGACGGAATAACAAATGGGGGACTAAATTGAACAAAAACACAAAAGTCTGGGACGAAATTGAGTAAAAACACAAAACTCTGGGACTACGTTAAGTCACCAAAGTCGTTTAGGACAAAATTGAAAAAATCCACTATAGTCGAAGATGATTTTGGGTATTAACTCATTATTCTTCCATAGAACAGTGTGCACCATACATGGTGCACATTGCACAACATAATTTGCCATATTTGACTTGAAGTGGGCCTGAACATATTGCTGGACTAGATTGATAGCCCAATATGCCGTTGAAGAAGAATTGGGCTTAAGGCTAGTATATGTTATGGATTAAGTCAATTGTTATGGCAAATTATTGTGTGGACCATGAATATTAAGTACATTTTTAATATATTAAAAGTACATTATTTTTGTATTGAAGGTACATTTTTGTACTGAAGGTTCATTATATAAAATAATGTACCCTTAGTATATTAAAAATGTTTTTTCAAAAAATGTACCTTACGTACATAAATAATGTACCCTTAGTATATTAAAAATGTGTTTTTATATATGGTCCACACAATTGTGTGGATCATGGTCCATGCAATAATGATTGAATTGTTATACCATGGATCATAATTCATATTGTATTGTAAACTCTGATTCTAAAATTATATATCTGTAATTAACACATTTTGTACCTACAACTAATTATTTCTATACTTATAAACAAGTTAAAGGCATTAATTGTACATAATATGTTAATTACATACACATGATAACTACAACCACATAAATTGTTAACTGCAGGTACAATATGTTAATGCAGACACATAAAATGTTGGTTAACACTTAACATGTTATGTGTGTCTGCAGTTAATATATTATATACCTGTAGTTAACAATTGATGTGTATGTAGTTATAATGTTATGTCTGTAATTATTATGTGATGTGCTTTCAATTTATTTACATGTACAAAAATAGTTAATTGTAAGTACAAAATGTGTCAACTCCAAGTATATAATTTGAAGATTATTTTTAAATCAGGATAACAAAATCTATAATATAAGGTAGACCTTGGTCCATTGTATAATTTGCCAGGTTAAATACCTGAGGAAGTGGAGTACTTAGAGTAGCAATTATTATTGCATGGACCATGGTTTATACAATTGTGTGGAGCATAAATAAAAAATGCATTTTTAATATACTAAACTAAGGGTACATTATTTATGTACGTAAGGTACATTTTTTGAAAATACATTTTTTAATATACTAAAGGTACATTATTTTATATAATGTACCTTCAATACAAAAATAATGTACTTTTAACATATTAAAAATGTACCTAATATTTATGGTACACACAATTGTGTGGACCAATAATTTGCCCTGGAGTAGAGCTCGGCGTCCTTGTTTTAAGGCAATCGTTATGCTATGGACCCGTGTCCAGCATGCGTGCTGGACACGGGTAACAATGCCGTTAGGCACTGTTATCTTTTTTTTTTTTTTTTTTTTTTTTTTTTTTTTTTTTTTTTAATTTCAGACCGCTTCGTTATAGGAGTATATGTTCATAATTTTATTATTACATGTTCATAATTGTAAGTTCATAATGTCAGAGCTCTATGTTCATAATTCCATAACTGTACATTCATAATTCCGTAATTGTACATTCATAATTCAATAACTGTAACTTCATAATTTTCGAAGCTCTATGTCCACAATTTTAGAGCTCTATGTTCATAATTTTATCACTATATGTTCATATTGTAAGTTCATAATGTCAGAGCTCTGTGTTCATAATTTCATAATTGTACATTCATAATTGCATAACTATACATTCATAATTGCATAACTGTACATTCATAATTCGGTAATTGTACATTCATAATGCAATAACTGTAAAATCATAATTTTCAAAGCTCGATGTTCACAATTTTAGAGCTCTATGTTCATAATTTTATCACTATATGTTCATAATTGTAAGTTCATAATGTCAGAGCTCTGTGTTCATAATTTTATAACTTACATTCATAATTCCATAACTGTACATTCATAATGCCATAACTGTACATTCATAATCCCATAACTGTACATTCATAATGACACAAACGAATAACGCCGTTAACAGCGTTAACGACGAGACAAAATTAATTTTTTTTTAACTGAAATGACGCGTTTTCTCTGAAAACGACATCGTTTTGGACTCGTGTCCACAATGCATTGTAGACACGAGTCCACTGCATAATTTGCGGTTTTAAGGGTAGTGAGACCTAAATTATTCGGTCTCAATTCGATAACGGATGAAATTATTGTAGGTTTAAAAGGTGCCTATCATTTAAAAAAAAAAGAAAAAACTATAAATAGGGATTTTGTTCTATAATTTTGTATCATTAATCCCTCATAACAATAAAACTTTCTTTATTTGTTATTTACTAGGTGATCCTAGCTTCACCGGATTAATTCTAAGCTCACATGGTCCTTCTCTAAGAGTCACTATAAAAGTAAATTACAAGTCGCGTAATCAATCCATCGATTAAATTCTAGTCTTCATATGTCATGATTAAGTCAGGCGATAAACTAACTATACTAGTCTATTGTGTGATTTTTATAGTCAGAGCTAATTAATTGTTTATACTTGTAATTGAAAAATGTAGTATCATTAGCGTGTAAGTGTATACTTTGTTGGGGTTGCAGACTTTTTCGCAAATCAAAGTATATATATACTCCACATATAACTAATGAATTAAGATATACATGCAAGGCATTCTTTTAAGAAAAAATGCTTAGCACCCTTACATTTATTGCTCACAAACTTACTACTTCTAGTTGTAGTAATTTTTAGTTGGTTTGATTTTTCTTTTTTTCCCTTTTTATTTCATATATTAAGCAATTAAAATTTACCACATCAGGAAGTGACAAGTTTGTGAGTGGTAAATGTAGGGGCACTACACATGATCCTGCTTTTAATATGAAGTTAAAGAAAATATTACACAACGTGTTTTAAAAATGAGTAATGCTAGATACCACTCATATTTTTAAAGAAGCTAATTCATTAATCATAAGCTGAAACGTTTACAATAAAGAATAATGGAATGGTTAAACATTCCTCATAATCAGACAAGAAACAACTTCCGTAGCAATGCTAAAG